CACTCTTGCACATATAAACCATTACATACTCCACATAAACCATGATCTATGTCCGCATAATATAAACCATACACTACTCCACATTAAAACCATATTACTATTCCCATATATAAACCGATAACACTCTCCAGCTATATGAAACATGACACTTAACTCCCGACATAGAAAATCAAGGGCTCCAAAATTAATGCATAGAACTAAAATGTAAAGGCTCTAAAGTATGACAAATTGTCTCTAGAAGAAAACACAAAGAAAAAAATTCTTTTGTGAACTTTTGGGTTATGCAAAAGTTTCTAAAATGCACCAACGAACAAGGCCATGATCCAATTAAAAAAAAGTCTGGTACATTTACTTTGTCTAAAATCCAAATCTGCTTTTTCAAAGTCACTAATAAAAAAAAATAGAAAGACAAGACAGAGACCTAGGAAAGCCACTTACAAGTCCACACAACTAAAAAGGAACTGCTTCCAGTATTTATAAAAGAAACCCTTCTAAACCTTAAGAAGATTTGTAAGCAACTACAGGAAAGAATGCTACTCCTTCTCACCAAATTTAGTTTTTCTGTTTTTGAAAGAAGCTATAATTCATTTTCCAACAAAAAGGTTTATCCCGATGTTACTTGAATGCCCGGCTAGCAACTCTTCTTCAATTGATAAAAAGCCAAAAACCCAGAAACACACGAAACAAAAAACCACCCGCACCCCCGTGGCTCCTTTTGCTGGGCTGTGGCCCGTCACCAGGGGCCTGCGCAGGGCGGCTGGGTTGTCCCCCTCCTTGCCTGCCCAGATGGCTCTGGAAATTCCTCCTGGTTGAAAGAAGAGGTAAGCGGACTTCTGAAGATTATCCAAAACCCCTTTAGTGCCCATGAGTTATTTTGGGGACATATGGAAAAGCCCGCATACACCTTACTCCACATATAAACGGCCTAAACTAACTCCACATGTAAACCGCACATGCTACTCCACAAACGCCCCCATAACAGCTCCACCTACTGCCATATATGAAACTATACACTGACATTCCATATAGTAAACCATACACTACTCCACATGATAAAATGGGTGGGAAGTTCCCCCAATAGAATGGGGTGGAGAAGGTCTCCAGACCCCCCACCCCACTCTAAGCCTCTTTGCAGAGACAGGAAATGGGACGCTCCCACGTTCCCCCTGGCGCTTGTCTGGGCTGGAGTCTCTTGAGACTGGAGCCCACACGAGACTAGATTTGTGCCTTAATCCAAACTCATCCATTCATTCGTTCACCTATCCTAGCCTTTAAGAGATTTTTTTTTTTCCATTTCAGGTAATTGGCAGCAATGGAATCCATGCGGGTAGGGGGTAGACAGCTGGAAACCTCTAGGATTACAGGTGTGAGCCACTGCGTCTAGCCTTTAATTTTACTTTTAACTTTAAAAAAAAAATCGTTTTCAGTGATTCTTGCCAGCAGAAGGATTGCTGGGCTAGAGGAAAAATGAATCTGTAATTTCGATATAAGTGTCGGCAAGTCACCTGTCTAGGGTTCATACTCCTACCAGCCAGCCATGGAAGAGGGCAGCCCCTGACCTTGCCAACGGGGTGTGTTGTCACACTTAGGGACTTTCATAGTAGGGTGGATACGAAATCACACATCAGTGCATTTATCATGGGTGGAGCTGAGTGTCTTTTCACATATTCAAGGGTCATTTATAATTTTTGTGTCTTTTCACATATTCAAGGGTCATTTATAATTTTTTTTGTGTGTGTGTGTGTGTGTTTATGTGATCTCTTCATGTTTTTGCTTATTTATCTCCTGGATTTGTTCTTGTTCTCCTCAACTTTGAGTAGTTCTCTGTGTCTTTGATAAATAATCCATTTATCTTTTATAGTAGTGGTTTTACACAAACCAGCTTTTCGCAAATTTGCCATTCCATGGCGGGTGTCGTCTTTTTGACTTTGGCAGAGGGTGCTCCAGTCCCGGGTGTAGTCTCACCACACTGTGTTCTCGCAGCGGAAAAGTTTATTTTCGTTGGGTCTACGATTTGTACGCCCATTTGCGGAATCTCCTCTTCTGGGGTCTGG